CTTTTCCAATCTGGGACCCCTCGAGGGATATCTGACTGCCCGTTTAGGCCCGATCCCACTGAGCAGTTGGACATTCCTCTCACAATTCAGGACTGCTGGTTCCCAACTGCTCACCTGCCTGCCTTCCTGATTGCCCCTAACAGCTTCTACCTGTCAGCCTGATCACCCCTTAACCACTCCCATGCCAGCCTGATTGATGTCTAACTGCTCCCCTGCCAGCCTGTTTGCCCCCAACTTCTCTCCTCTGCTTGCCTGGTCACCCCTAACTGCCCTCCCCTGCAGGCTTGATCGCCCCCAACTGCTCTCCCTTGTAGGCCTGGTGCCTCCCAACTGCCTTCCCCTACTGGCCATCTTGTGATGGCCATCTGTGTTCACATGGGGGCAGGATCTTTGGCCACATGAAGGTAGTCATCTTGTGTGTTGGAGTGATGGTCAATCTGCAAATTACTCTTTTATTAGATAGGATAGAGGCCTGGTGCATGGGTGGGGCCAGCTGGTTTGCCCTGAAGGGTGTCCTGGATCAGGGTGGGTGTTCCCTTGGGGCGTGGGGCAGCCTGGGTGAGGGACCTGTAGTGGTTTGCAACCCAAGTGGAGGTCCTGGTATTTGGGGTTTATCTTCTACAATTGAAATTTTGTAGCCTGGAGCAGAGCCAAGCCTCCTGCAGTGAAGGCCTGAGCCAGCCAGGGCTGAAGAAGCTTGGTTTCCTCCATTGCCGGGGCAACTCTACCCTTCTGCTCTTCCAACTCTGTGTCTGCCGCCATTTCTGTTGGGAGTTTATTTACCTTCTATAATTGAAACTTTGTAACCTTGATTGGAGGCCTGGGCCTGCCAGGATGTGTAGAAAGCTTTGCTTCCTCCATTGCCGGGGAAACCCAAGCCTCCCTCTTGCTCTCTGTGGCCACAGCCATCTTGGTTGGGGTTAATTTGCATACTTGCTCTGATTGGCTGGTGGGTGTGGCTTGTGGGTGTAGCAGGATGATGGTTAATTTGCATATTACTCTTTTATTAGCTAGAATGGTTGGTGTTAAAGGGATTTTAGAAAAAGGTACAATGTAATACCTAAAGCAATCACTAAAAAACTATATAATACACTATAGATTGAAAAACAATAATCAAAATGAAAATCTAAAAAATGTTCAAGTAATCCACAGGAAAAAGAAGACAAAGAGGGAAGAGGAAACGAAAGATGACAGCTTTAAGCCTAATATGTCAATAATTCCATTAAAAGTAAATGATAAACTCATAAATAAAAGACAGAGCTTAGGAGAGTAGATATATTATAAAAAGTGAACCAATTACACTCTATTCACAAGAAACTCTGGTAATCAAAGGTCATGGATGGTGATGGGGAAAGGAATAGATCTATACATATAAAAGACCAGCGACCTAATGGCAGAACCACCAGAATGATGGGTCAACCAATTGCACTGGCCACCAGGGGGCAGACACTCAACACATTAGCTGCCCCTGGTGGTCAGTGAGCTCCCACAATGGGCCAATCCCTACAGGCCCCACACCAATGCACGAATCCATGCACCGAGCCTCTAGTTTGAAGTATAAAGGAATCTTATGAGGGAGATCTTTATGGTGATAGAATAGTTCTATATTTCAACTGTGGTGGTGGTTACACAGTGATGAAATGATATATAATACATCACACAATGTACAATGCCCATTTCCTGGTTTGTATATTGTATTATAATTCTGTAAGATGTAACCACTGAGGGAAATTGAGTACAGAGTACAGAGGACCTTTCTGTAATTTACAATTTCCTGTAAATATATGATTATCTAAAAAGAAAAATGTGTTGTTGTTTTTTAAACCAAACTGCCAGAGTTCAAACCTAGACTCTACCATTCCCTGCATAAAGTTGGCATATTTAACCAATCTGTGTATCAATTTATCATCTGTAAAATGAGAAAAATAGTATTAATCAGGTAATGACAAGAAAATAAAACTTAAAAGAGGATAACTATTGATATATGCAGCTATGTAGATGAATCTCAAAAGCAGTATGCTAACTAAGTAAAAGAAGCCTGACACATAAAACTATTAAGTATATTAATCTATAAATATGACATTTTGGAAAAGGCAAAACTATAGGGACAGAGCGCTGGCCAGATGGCTCAGTTGATTAGAGTTATCCCGTACACTAATTGTTGCAGGTTTAATCTCCAGACAGGGCTCATATAAGAGGCAGCTGATCAATGTTTCTCTCACATCAATGATCAATGTTTCTCTCTCCCTCCCTCTCTCTCTTCATTTTCCTTTCTCTCTAAAAATTAATAAAAATTAATTCTTATCCTTGGATAAGAATTAAAAATCAATACTATAGCAGTAAAAATCAGGATATAGAGAGCAGGAACTGAAAATATTTCTGAATAATGGTTTTTGGTATAGTTCTGACTTTTGAAGTCATGCTAATAATATTCTACATATTCAAAAAATAAAAGTAAACCAACAAGGATGGGGGAAAAAGATTAAATTGAATGCAAACAAACCAAACCAAACCAAACCAAATAATTGTGTTTCAAATGTATAAAATAATCAAACTGAGCATAGGAGTATGCTTCACTATATGCTGTCAGTCTAGGTGGAACAACTTGCAAATAAATCTTCAACTGTTTTTAGTAGATAAATCTAAATGGAAAAGTAACTGGTCTGTATGCTTCAAAAATCTTAACAGTATGACAAAGAAAAACTAAAAGCCAGTATAGGTTAAGAAAATTAAGGAGACATAACAACAAAGTGCAATGCATGCTCTTGGACTAAATTCTTTTATGGAGAAACAGAATATCCTAAAGGACATTATTGGAACAGTTAGTGAAAGTGAAATATAATAACTGTAGATTAAGGTATTAAATATAATAACTACAGGTTATACTTTTACTTGAACAATGTTAAATTTCCTGAGTTAATAACTAGTTATTTTAAGAGAACATCTTTATTCTTAGGAAATAAACACTAATATACTTAAAGGTCATAACCTTCTTTTGAAAAAGTTCAAAAAAATTAACTAAAAAATTAAATAAAAGATATATAGTAATTAATGTACTTGTAAAGATACTTTAATATCCTATATAATCCTCCTATATAATAAAAGCCTAATATGCAAATTGTCGCCTCAACTGAAAGTTCGAGAGAGTTGGATCGCTCGCTATGATGTGAGCTGAACACCAGGGGGTTGCATGGAACATGGTGGGCATCAGCAACACACCACTAGCAGTGGGCGGCAGTGGAGGCACTGCTGGCCCTGACAGGCCCCAACAAGAGCTGGACTGGTGCAGAATGGTGAAGCAGATGAGTGGGCAGCGCCAGGTCAAGGCAGGTGCAAGCAGGGGCCTGATCGCCCGCAGACACAGACGGCGACCAGTGGTGACAGCGGGGGCGGGGCTGCCACTCAACTCCCAGATGCTGAGGGAGCTGGGTGGGGGCCTGATGACTCAGGTAGAGGGGGATATGTGGGAGCCCAGGGGCCTAGGTGCTGCCCAGGGCCCAGAGGCCAGCTGGGACCTGCCCTTCCACACCAGATGCTTGCACTTCGATCACCGGCCGGGTCTAGGGACACACCTATACACTAGAGGTATACCAGGCCTCTAGTCAAAAATATATATTTATATGGAAAGAGGATGCTTCAAAGGAGTTGGAGTATTGACAATTAATAGAATAAATAATAATCTGGAACAGCAATAAGAGAGTAACATTTATCCTACTTCCTGGCTCCAAAGTATGTGGGTATGGTAGAAAACAAACAAACAAAAAAAAAAACACATACAAACACACACAAAAAAACAGCCTCTGACTAAGAAAGCAGTAGAGAAAACAATATATCTCAGGGGATAACCAGATACCGGTTAAGACAAAAATAGAGAAAACATTTAGAGGAAGTCAGGCTATAGTTTGTTAATAACATAAAGGAAGAATCTGAGTGGGAGGGAAAAGGTTGTGGGTTGGGCTGGAACAGATTTCCAGAACAATTATAAGGTTAAGAGTCTGGGTGATAAAAAAATGACTCAAAAGCAAAAGAAGAGGAAAGGAATTCAAAGTAGGTGAAAATTAATACTAGTAATCTCAAGATAGGCACTTAGTTTTAGAACGAGGTCCCTAATGCTCTGCTCTATGGTATCAGAGTTCCTAGAGGCCCTCCACTAGGAAGCCTTTCCACTTGCCTCCTGCCAGGTAGTTAGACACACTTACCTGTGATGCTCTAACACCCTGCTGCCTGTATCTATCATTTAACTCATGTGCAATAATAAATATTGATAAATTAATTGATGGCTTATCATAACCTGAGTAGATTAGATACAAGAAAATTGGAAATCAACTTAATAAAGAAATGGCATAATTTCATTTCTGAAAAAAGTTTCTAAAGTATTTAAAACTAGAGGCCCAGTGCCCAAAAATTCGAGCACTTGGGGAGTGGGGGGTCCCTCAGCCTGGCCTGAATCCTGTTGCAGTCTAGGACTTTTTGGGGGATGTCCACCTGCTGGCTTATGCCGCTCCCCAGGGGATCAGGCCTAAGCTGGCAGTCAGACATTCCTCTGGCAGCCCAGGAGCCCTTGGGGGATGTCCAACTAAAGTCTTAGGCACAACTCCCCTACCCTCCCCCACATCATTCCTGATCATTCCCAGTCATTCTGCCATTAGGGTCAATTTGCACATTACCCTTTTATTATTTTTATTTTATATTTTATTGATTTTTTACAGAGAGGAAAGGAGAGGGATAGAGAGCTAGAAACATCGATGAGAGAGAAACATCGACCAGCTGCCTCCTGCACAGCCCCCACCAGGGATGTGCCCGCAACCAATGTACATGCCCTTGACCGGAATCAAACCTGGGACCCTTCAGTCCGCAGACCGATGCTCTATCCACTTAGCCAAACTGGTTTTGGCAACATTACCCTTTTATTAGATAGGATAGCATGTTGGCTTAAGATTCAAAGAATACAAAATGGAGAATTATTTCTAGTTGATTTTATGTAAAAGAAATATGCTTACTGTACAACAAGCTGCTGGCACACAGTTCCATTCTCTGTTATCAGCTCATTCAGCTTTAATTCAAGGTGAACTTTACCCTATAATGACAAAAAATATTATACATTGAGTAATCTATTTTGTTGACAAAATATTAAAGGTACATATTTTGTCAAACTAAACTTATTATATTTAGTTATGCACTAACTAAATATTAGTGATCCCTAGCACATGGTTTTGCCCACATTAAGTACCTGTTAAGTGACTAATACCCAACAATGTAGATCAAAATCTGAAAGATAAGAAGCGGTTAAATGCTTATATCCAACATTTGAATGTTTAGGTTTTCAAATCTAAGAACTTTATGCCCAATTCAACAAATATTTATGTATCTCAAATATCATGGATTACAAAGAGAGGTAACCCTTATGTTTTAGGGAATTTTGAAATAAAAGCTAATTATAAAGTGTAGAATGCTTTTCCCAGAAAAGACAAACCATCAATAAGGGCAGAGGAAGTATCATTTAAAGACAGAGAAATAATACAATTCTAAAAGAATAAAACTAAGTTAAAACTAGTAATGTAATTTTGTCAATATTGAAATAATAGGTTTGGGGGATATCTACTATATTTTAAGAGGCACTGTGGGAGTGGGTAGGTATGCATAGATGTATATAACACATAGTTACTACTTATAAGAAGCTCATAATCTAGTTGGGAAAACAACAAACAAAAGAGAGCAATATATGGCCAACGGCATTGATGGAAAAATAGATACTAAAAACAATGGAGGACCCTCATAAACAGCCATTAACTAATGGATTTTTAAAAATTCAATAGTGTAAATTTAAAGCAAACTATCAACTTCTAAAGAAACTAAGGCCTAGGACAATATAATCTAGAACTTAATATTTCTACTCTGCCACTGTGATGAGCAATTCTAAACTGGCTTATGAGCAATTTTGCACTAGTTAAGAATCTGGTGCTGGATTATCTCCACCCAGCTGACAAGACAGATTCCCATGGTGCCACGCGGAGATTTCAAGGGTGTGATGTTCAGGGGCTGATGACATAAGTAATTTCATTAGAGGTAATAAGGCTCATTATCTACTCCCTGTTCCTTTTTGAAACAAACCCTTTCAGATATTCTTTCAAAGAAACCTATCCTGAATCAGCCTCACTATTTTATGAGGATTTGTTATACAAGAGTGGACCTGAGGTTTACTAAATACAAAGCTCGGGGTTAGATTGATAGTGATGAGCAATAAATATTGATGGGTCTCAACACATGCACGAGAAAGCCAAGCTCTAAAGAAAGGCACCAGTGGTAGCAAAATTAGCAGTTAGGTGGATTTAGAATTAAATTAAGCAAATCTTCCACTAAAAATCTAGGCACAAATATTTATAAAGTCATATGTAATTAATAAATACATCTTTTGTTAGTCCTACATTTAATATTCACAACCCCTGCTATTCAAGCATGACCTTGAAGAGGCCCATGATCTGCAGTAATCTGTAATATTACTCAAGTAGAAGTTTAAATCATGTCTGCTGTCCTGTCAGCATGTGTATGTCACTTAGTGCGCCTAGCCAACTATACCAACATTTGCATCTCAAAGCAGTTTTACTATTTTAACATTTGCATTTTATGGAAGAAACTGTATCGTGACAAGGCACTCCCTACTGTCTCCAAGGAACGTCTAGAATCTCTATTTCTTAGTCAATAAAAAGCCTTTGAAGTGGGGTGGAGAAAAAAGTATAATAATTTCGTTCATAACTAAAAATCACTGCACTGTATCAAGTTGAGCCTAGAAATAAGATGTTCAAAGGGATTCTACCAGGAATCATTACCATTGAGTCAGAGCCTACTTAACATGTTCATTACTCCCACTGGCTGTTAAACGTAACATTCCTTTGGTATTAGCCAACAATAACATAATTGTGTATTAACCTGGTCAAGAAAAGAGTTGGTACAGAATAGGAGACACAAGACACACTGTTAGTGTGGAACACTAAAGTTAAAAAGCATTATGAATTAAATTAAGGAATTATAATTTTTAAACTGTAAAACACTACCTCAATGTATACTTTAATATGCAAATATGTACAGGATACTTATAAAAGAAACAAGTTACAAAATAGGGTGTATAATATAATGTTAATTTAAAAAAATAAAATACACTTGTGCATATATCACTATAAAATTACTACAACTCCATCTACTAAAACATTGATAGAAATTAACTTTTGTTGGTAGGATTTCAGATTTTTTTCTTTTTGCTCATTTAGATTTTAAGTTTTACTACCAATGTGTACTGCTTTTGTTTAGTAAAGAAAAATGAAAAAAAAATGTTTTAAAAAATATGTGAAGCTACGGTACTTTTCAGTGTCAGAAACCTAATTATTTGAACATTTTTGAAAATTTGGTATTCTTTAATAGTCGCACAAAAGTTCACTTTTACTTACATCTGTCATCATTTTGTATATCTGGATTGTAGCAAAACAAGTTGTTTTTTGAGAGGGTAGTTATGAGTTCAGCAAACTATTTTCTAGTCTTGCTGACATGAACACATAAGGAACTGTTTGACATTGAAATTGGGTCTCAAAAGAACTGGTGGCTCAGAAAGAAGCTCACTGCAGACTGATTCATATGCCTTTCAGCATAACCATTATTGCTTGTCTCAGTTTTGATTCTTATAAGTAGATTTCCAGTAGGACATGATCTCACTCATCTAGGGGAAATGGTGAATAACACAGACTGATGAACAAGAACAGACCCAGAGATAAGGAGCCATGGGTCAGACTGTTGGACCTCAGAGAGAGGGTGGGGATAAAAGGGAGAGATCAACCAAAGGACTTATATGCACACATATGAGCCTAACCAGTGGTCAAGGACAATAGGGGGGTAGGGGCATGAGTGTGTGGGGGGGGGAGGATTGGAATGGGAGGTTGAGGACAAATATGTGATACCTTAATCAATAAGGAAATTAATAAAAAAAATATTTTCTAGTCTCTCTTGAAGCCAGGGATAATGGCTAAAGATAGGCATTATGATACAGTTCTGAGATGTATAATAAAACAGAAGTTGCTACCCTGGCCAGTGCTATTAAGTGGTTAAAGCATTGCCCTGTCCACTGAAGGGTTGAGGATTCAAATTCTAGTCAAGGTTACATAACTGAGCAGCAGGTGTGATTGCCAGCCCCAGTAGGAGCATGTATGGGAGTCAACCTATCTGTGTCAGTCTCACATCAATATCTCTCTCTCCATCTCTCCATATCTCTCTTTCTCTCTCTCTCTTCCACTTTCTCTAAAAATCAATGGTCAAAAAATGTCATCTTTCCCAAACACTCGCATAAAAATCAGAAGCTGCTGGTGAGTTATCTGAAGAAGCTTGTTGAATGGGACTGAGATGCCAAGCTTAAAGCATTCCACAGCATCATGGTGTTGGGCAGATAAAAATTAGAGATAGTGCTATGGCTGGTTTAGCTCACTGGATAGAGCATTGTCCTGTAGACTGAAGGGTTCGGGTTTGATTCCAGTCAGGGGCATATGCCTGGGCTGCGGGGTCAGTCCCTGTTAATGGAGCATGCAGAAGGCAGCCAATAGATGGTTCTCTCTCATTATTGATGTTTCTCTTTCTCCCTCTTCCTTCCTCTCTGAAATCAATAAAAATTATTTTTTAAAAAATTGGAGATAGTAAACACCTAGGCTATCTATTAGAATCTCTGAAGTACTATGCCTGAGGAGTAAGAATGAACATAGACCAGCCCTTACAGACTGAAACCTAGCATAGAATCAGCCAAAGCCCTAACTGGATAGTTAAGATAAACTACCTCTAATCTACCCACATGCCAAAAGCAAAAGTAAATCTCTAGAGGAAGAAAAAAAAAAAATCCAGAGCTTCAAATTATCTCTTAAGTATTTCATATTTCAATGTCTAGCACTCCATCAAAAATTACTGAGCATGTCAGAATACAAGACAAACACCAAAAACAAAAACAAAAAACTGACAGTAGGAAGCAAATTTACAGAAGATGCAGATGCCGGAGTAACTGACAGGTTAAAATGGCTGTTTAATTTATAATCTAATGTCACCCCAAAAATTTCAATTTCCTACAAATGACAGGAAAAAAATGTTTGATTTATAAGAAAAAAAAGATCTAGCAAATAAGTATAAACTATTAAATGCATCAAATGAAAAATTTAGAATTAAGCAATAAAATAATCAAAATGAGAAGGTATTTAACAGCAAATTATCTACAGCTACATAAAGGATTAGTAAAATAGGAGATAGTCAGTAGTCATCTACAAATGAAGCAGAGACAGACAGACAGAGAGAGAGAGAGCATAAATGATCTATTATTCATGTAATTGTAGTCCCAGAAGAAAGGAGAAAGAATAGGAAAGAAAAAAACCCAAACAGATGAAGAGATAATTGCTTGGAATTTTCCAAAACTGAAGAATGACATTAAGGCAAAGATTCAAGCGCCCCCGGGAACACCCAAGTTAGATAAATATAAAGAAAACCACAACTAGACAGAGCACAGTAAAAACTGATGAAACCATAAGATAAAGAGAAAAATCTTAAAAGCAACTAGAAAAACAGAGCTATTGTCTAAAAACAGGAAACTATAAGACTGACAAGGATTATGTTTGATCAGAAACATGCAATGTGATTTGCTTTACAACTATTTTTTTTACCCAATATGTAAGGGACATTCAATAACACAATATACCTTTTAAATATGTCAGACACTGGAATGATCAGATATCTGGCATTATATTCTCTATTTTTAATTAAAAATTGGAAGGTATTTTTCTTTATTCCACAGTATTGAGTATGTTAGGTTGATATATGCAATTGTATCACTTTAATCTGTATTAGCATATTTAGGAACTTGTATTATTCTGGTACTGTCTGAAAGTTTAATATTTTATATGCTAACTTTATTTCAATTAGTTTTACAAAAATTTCACACAGAAAAATCCGTTATGTTAATTTTATATTGTTATTCTTGATACGCTATAAAGATATGTGAATTTCTGCATACCGTTTGGGAAACTCAGATGAACATAGATATTTGAGCAAAATATGATGCAT